TGGCTGGGGACAAAAGGTTAAAACAGCCATCCCAGCACTTTTCAGCATAGGCCATTCTGACTCTCTCTGATAAAGGCCTACGCCAAAACACATTTAGGTGGCTTTTTAAACCTGTCCAGAGCCATGATATAATAAAGGAGTAAGCCATGAGAGGTCATGCATTACTGTGATGGCCGTGCATTACAGTGATGGTTAATGGATGTTGTTAGGCATGAAGCTTTTATAAAACAGTGACAAAATACATTGGCCTTTATTTATCATATAGAAGTTAAATAAAATAAAAATGTGCAGGTTTGACTGCCTTAAATGATACATGAGCTTCTCAGCGTCTGATTCATGAAACTTTCGTACAGTGTGGAAACGAGCAGAGATTTGAGCGCAAATGATGAATCACACAATGCTAATATCCTCTAGCTCTGCTATAAGGTTTTCAAGTGTATGTTAGCATCAAGGTAACACTGGTGCATGCAAGAATTTCATGGCAGCTGTTCAAGAATAATTTTTACTTTGTATGTTGCATTTTTACGCCAACCCTTTTGGTAAAATTTTGAATTTAAAGTCTCTTACTAAAGTATTTTTGGAGGAGACTATTAGCCTGTTAGCTATTTGTTGACCATATTAGCTCACTCTAGTTCATGTTTTGTTCATGAAATTGACAAAGTGCAAAACTGAAAAATTAAAAAAAAAAAAATCGTACTTGCATCGGTTAGCTAAGTAGCTATAAACTTTTCAGTTAGTAGCATACAGTGATAATGACAACTAAATGTCTTGCTAGAACAAAAACCCTTATTATTGGTAAGTTTTTTATTCATAAATTTGGGAAAAGAATATTTTCCCAAGTTGAGAATCATGTGAGTTAGCTTACAGCATTCGTCCCATTATAAAACTTTCCTAAGGTCGAGCTGGAGACATTTCCAGTCAAAGAGCATATTGACCAGTGCTCACTGGTTTTTATGGTGAATTGTGAAAACTTTGAGAGAATGAAAATTTGACAGCTGCAGGAGACGCTCAAGACATTTGAACGTTTTTACTTCTTACTTTGCGCACAAACAGAAAATGGATACTTTTAAGATTACATTTGACCAACAGCCGTTTTGGTCAGACTCTGAAGATGAGACTACACTAAATTCCCAAACTGTCATCACCACTGAGCAGCTGTGACAGAAAAACACCTAAACAACCTGGAATTAGCCAGAAATTAACTGAATACCATTCGCCAAACATGTTGTCTCGTCTTCAGAGTCTGACCAAATCGGAGTGAACCATAAAACTGCAGCAATAAAAAACAAAAAAACTGCTCAGTGGTGATGACAGTTTCGGAATTTAGTGTAAGGAGCTGATGAACGAACTGCTGGCTGTGCAGCAAGTGAGTGGAGGTCATTACTCTGACGTAGCAACAAGCTGCTTGTTAAGGAACTATAATTTGGTGGAAGGAATCGCTAACATTAAAACATATTATATGCCACATTCACGGTCCAACTTATTTATTTCTTACTTTATTTATTTAACTGTTGTATAAAACAATAGAACACTCGTGTGTTATTGTTATAACATCACAGCCGTGACGCTATTTCGCAATAACACACTCCCTCTCGTGTTCTATTGCTTACGTAACCTGGAGCTTAATACAGAATTCAGCTGAAGTGCTCATATACGTACATATTGAGTATTTTGCTCAATGTCTAGAACGCTACTATGGAAATTCATTTTTTGCTCTTTCTATGTTAGTCAAAGGGAAACAGTTTTATTGTTAAAAACTGTTAGGATGAAGTTTGTTCTTTCTGTTTATTTCTGTTTCTTATCTCTTGACTTTACACTGATATGCCTCTCTGCACTGCCATATGTTTGGGCTGTAAAGGCCTGGCAGGGTGGTAGGACGTTTCTGTCTGCCCATATTGGAGTTATTAGGATGGATGGATGGGCCTGATGCTTGCGATGTAATTGCTGATGTTATCCTAGGACATGATAAGAGAGTGGAACTGCACTTACAGAGCCTGCTTATACCTACACTAATGCACTTAGTGGTCAGTTTCCCACAGAGACAGCGAGAAAGATGCCTTTTTATGTGTGTGTTTATGTCTCTGTACATTGTCAGGACAAGCTTTTTTGACCATGTAGGAAAATCAGAGAAAAACAGAAAAAAAAACAGGTGCATCCTACCTTGTCAGGTGTAGCAAAAAAAACTTTATAAAGTGCTTTTTACACAGTTGCATTTTTTAGAACTGAAAGAGAAAAAAACGTTTTGGTTACTGAGGTTACAGTTAGAGTGAGGACTCATATTAGGCTTAAGAAATTACTGTTATATAATACATATGGGGCATTGTTATTGCATGTGGATATTTATATGTAATACATGTGGGACATATTACTACATATAAGTACTTGATGTGTAATGCATAATGTTGTCATCACAAAAAGATACTTATTATGCTACTTATATATATATAATACATGTGGGACATCATTACATTGAATACATATGGGACTATATGAGACATATGCATTTGTCTTACATGTATAATACATTTGGGATGAATGCTCCCACATCCTGACAAGGTATAAAAACAAACCTGTGTGTATTTGCGATGGATGGCTGATTATTGCTTTTTTTTCATCATGCTTGCCTTGCACTTGCTCTCTCAGCTGTGTGCTTACAGCGGTGCTTTTGCAGCACTTCATTTTCCCCCGCTGGCTCTCCACCTGCAAAGCCCCCAGCCGACCTGCCACGCTCAGGCAAATTGCGTGCTATTTGCGGAAACTGCTAATGTCCGGAAAACGGTGAAGATTTACGTTTTCGCTCCCTCTGCGTCAGAGCGCAGGTGGGCACTCGTCATTTTGACATGATGGAGCTCCACCCGCTGTGAGAAAAAAGTGTTTGTTAACCCTTAGAGGTCTAAAAAACACTCATTCTTAAACTGTACATATGTATATTTACATAATCATTCACATAGCTACAAAGTGAATTACATTTGCATTCAATCTGCAGTCTGTATCAACAAGTTTGCATCTCTGACTTTCTTCCATTTGTTTTGTTGTAAAACAGTAATGAAAACATGGCAGAACATACACACACAGCAATAACGCTTGATTACATTCAGATCTTAATAAAATATCTCCTTTTCTTCTTACAAACACAAATGTGTTGTGGATTGAAAGTTTAGAATCTGCACTCTGCACACAATTTCTTCACTTGTTTCAAATGAGATACACATTAAAAGTGAGAAATAACTAAACAAAATGTAAGAAAAGGCATTTCAAGCCACAGAATTAAAGAACCCTGAAAGAATTCTTCAGTCAGGGCCAGTACTGACCATCTTTTAACTCATAGTAGGACAGCGCAGAAGCTCTATGAGCAGGAATGTGTTTTATATCATAATTTATGGCCACAAACAAGTCAGTTAAACAAATCTGACAAGGTCAGTGCTCCTGGACTCCAGAGAGTTATATATGAAGGCCATGAAGTACCAAGTTCTAGTGCTTTGTAGGACTGAATCAGTTTTTTCGTTTGAGTTATGAGATTATAGCATCTGTGCAGAGCGGCAGAGCTAAAGGAGCTAAGCTGGGTTCTCTGTTTGAAAGTGTTCCAATTAAGAAAACATAACCGCGCTGACCGATAATTATTGCTCTTAACACTGACTCACGAAGCAGCAGCACATGTTTTGATCCAGCCTTTGGTGGAGGACTGTAATAGAAATTAGATCTGTAATTCTGAACCCACTGCTGGCTGGAGTGTTTAATAAAAACACAATTAGATCCATCCTCCCATTTGTCGCTAATCTAATTTTGAGCAGATAATCCAGGCTTAGCTTTATGTTGACACTCTATTCATGCAAAAAGCAGTGGTTCTTACTTTCGGCAGGGAAATCTGTGTAATCCACCTACTATTTCTGCTCAGTGCTCAAGTACTGGCTTAGATTTACAGCTATTTTCCTTCAGTTTCTGCAAAAAGATACTGATTAGACTCAGAATCAGTCCATCTAATGGTGGACGATATGACAAAAATACTTGATACTTTCACGCTTACAAAATATATGTCATAATATCTCATTTTTCTGAGGTTGGAAAGGATGACATGCGCTAGTAAACAGTAGTGCCATCTACTAATTGTAATATAATTCAACAATTTAAGATGCAAGAGAAGGAAAAATCAAAAGATAAATAAATAAAACTATTTAAAACTAGGCTATTGGTATTATGGACCAACCTCCAATCAGCTACTTGTGGCCATACGGTTTACTCTACAAAAGTTATTGTTTACAGGCTCTCTATAATTGATGTTTTTAATGGTCCATGTGGTTGTGCAGTGCTCTAGAAGTACTGACCATACCCATCAAAAAAGTCGGAAAAGTGTACCTGTAACATTTTGTCACTCTCTGTGCTTTTGTTTACATCCACCGTGTGCCTTTGGTTTCTAGTGCCATGTGCTTTTGTTGTTGTGTTATCTCCTCCGCTGTCCTGCCCTGACTTCAGCCTTCACCTGTTCCTTGCTTCCTAGCCCTGCCCTCTCATGAATACCAGGTGTTCCTTGTCTTCTGTGTTAGAATATATATACCCCTGTCCTTCCATTGTTCCCCAGCCAGCATTGTTTGATATTTGATATTTAACTTTGATGTTGTATGTGCCTGGTTTAGGTTTGTGATCTTTGTGTTCCTCTTTGTGTTTCATAGTTTATCCAGTCCGTTCATGTTCTTAGTAGTTTCCTTTGTTATAGTGTTTTAGTTTGTTTTCTATAGATACAAGTACTGTTTATCTGTATGCCTGCTGTTTGGATTATCCACATAATGACTTTAATAAAATGTACTCATGCTTGTACTCTGCCTCCTTACCTGCCTCGTCAGCCCATTTGCTACAGTACCCTGACCTAATTTATCATGATAACAATATATCATTATGTCATCATATTCCCCACCACTATGTTCATGCTCATGTATGGTGATATGTTCATAGCTGCTCTAAAGGGACTGTGTGAAATTCCTAATTATGCCTTTTTGCTTTTTCAGGGGGCCAGAGTGCAGAACTCAGCCAAAAACCTCGGAGTGAGAGACCGCACCCCATCTTCAGTGCCAAGGTAACCAGAACACACACACACACACATGCACACACACAGTCTGGGGTCATACACACAGAACTGTGCAAAAGTTTTAAGCACCTGAGAGGGTTATATTTAAAAAGCTGTTTATACTTATCATCGCTGTTTTAACAAAACCTCCAAAATGGTAACTTTACAGAAGAAGGAAAAGCAGTCTTAACTTACAATGGAAGTTAATGTAAGAGATCTCTTTTTCAAGTAATTTTAGATCATTTCTATTAAATTAAATCAAATTAAACACAATGCACAGGATAGCTTGAAGTTTCAAATGATGAAGTCAAAAGTTGGAGATACAAGGTTTTTGTGCAACAGCACGTTATGTTATGTTGCATATGACTTATGTACACTGTCAGAAAAAAGGTACAGTGCATGGAACACTATGGAACAAACAATGTAAATATATCCTTAATGGTACAACAATGGTCTTAATGTCCAGTTGTGTACTTGAAATACTTTTTTCATACATTTTTGCACCGTTTCTTAATCTAATGTTCAGTGAGTCGAGACAGGATGTGTGGAGTCCATACAACTTGTAAAGTATAATTGCAATGGAATATGGTGCAATTATGTTCCCTAAATGAAGGTACTGAAAATATACCCTTGAAGGTCCCACCACAGTGACAGTTTAGTAACTTTTTCTCTGAGAGTATATAATGTTGTGCGGAGGTTTAGGTGCCCCTGGTTAAAATACATGTTTTGTTGATTTCCTAAATGAAAATAAGTGAACACATCCTCTACAGACAACACACTTCTGCACCTTTTAATGCACAGTTTACTGATTATATAACATATTGGGGGGAGGCTGTGCAAAAGGTATGGTGCATTTTATATTTAGGTTTTTTTTTTAAATGTTAAAGGCAGCAAATAAATAGGAATTGTACAGAAAAATGTTATTTTTGTGTGTTCTCTGTAGAGGATGCGTTCACATATTTTCATTAAGAAAATCAACAAAATGTCATTTGACCAGGGAAGTTCTGACTTTTGCATGCGACTGTATAATAGATTCTTTTAAACTAAGTGTAACACTGTGTTGATGAACCAGACACTCACTGATGTAAAATAAACCATAAGGTTTATTATAAGGAGAATGATATGAAACAGTAGGTTTAACACCAGACTAGGTCAAAAACAAGAATAGCCAAACACGGTACATAGACCTGGTACAGGTGAGGGTCTAAACCAAAAAGCAAACCAACCAGTAACCTTGACCAAAGGGGTAAATCCAAAAATCAACAACGGTAGACAAAACAGGGTCATAACAAGAGAACAAACTGCAGACAAAAGGCTCGGTACACACTGGTAAACAGAGGCAATACTTCACAGTGAGAGAGACAGACAGACATGTATATATACAACAGCAAACAGGTGAAAACAATTAGAACTCAGGTCACTGGGATCTGTTAACTGACTGATGATTGAATGGCTGAGTTATGTGGCTGGCTGATGCATCTTGGGAATTGAAGTCCGTAAGATAGTGAGAGTCCAAGAGCTGGGAAGCGTGACAGTAAGTTAAATTTTAATGTATGTTAATGTAAGGATAGGATATGTAAGTATCCATATTTAATGAGACCTTAACCCTAACCTCAGTACCCAAAAAGAAAGCGCTTTCATTTTATAAATAAAACATGAAGCTTATGTTCAATAAATAAACAAATACAGAAATTCTTTATCTGGCCCATTTTTCTGTACCAACTTTTCTGTTTGATTATGTTTTGCTCCTCCTTTGTGCCCCTACTGTGGTTTTCTCACTAGACCTCAAATATGAGCAAAGTATGCATTGAATGTAAGAATGAATTTAGACCATCTGAGAAAATATTCTTTAGCTTTCAAACCTGAAAGAAAATTTTTGGTGTGCTTCTTTCTGTACACTGTATATCATGACAATATGACTTATTTGGTTTTAGGCCTTTTGTATTGGTGTATGAACAGCTGTGATGATTAATGGCTTCACTATTGTATGAACAGCTGGTTAATTCTGCAAGAATAACAAAAAAAGTATATAGCAATAAGCTTTTCATTATATTTATTTACAGAGAGGCACTTAAATAGAATTGCTTGAACTAGGTTATTTTATGTATTAACCATATCTCACTGAATGTTCAGACTCTTTGTTGTCTTTAACTGATCAAAATCTGCCCCCAGAGAAGTTGTTGAGCTGCATGACCCATGTCCATTTGTCAGTAAAATAGATCAGCATGTGGAATTGGAGCTTTCTGTGAACTACTATGTTTCCTATCACTGTATAAAAGAAGCTCCATGGTGCCTCTATTGTTGGATGCACTGCAGTTGTTTCTGATTGTGTGCACATATTCAAACACAGTTCACTATCGTTATAGAAACACTTGTTATTGATTTGTTTCATCAGAGCAACAATAAAAGGCCTCTGAATTTTCAAGTGTGTTCTTGTGTTTACAAAAACTTCTGAATTCTCAGAATTTTTTGTTAGATCATGTTCTTTTGTTTACATACCAAAAATAAGTGCACTGAAAAATAATGTTAATAACAGAGAAGAGTAGATTAAAAGGCAGAAAGTGACTTTTTAGTTTCTGCTTTAAAGAGCCAGTGGGGAACCTAATGATTTCTAGGAAGTATATTCTAAAAAAGAAAAAAAAAACGTTTTAACTGGAAGTTACACAGCCTTAAAATGGAGTTAATTTAAGTTCTAATGTAAGTTAATTGAAAAGGAATGTCTGTCTTAAGTTCTGTTGACTTAATATTTGTTCAGTAAACTCAAGATTGACTTTCTGAGTTTTTTGAGTTACAGCACTATTTTGTTTATAGCATAAAAATACACTTTTGTTTAATAGAATCGAATGTTGTAGTAAAAGTTAGATTTTGGTTGGTAACAAAAGGGTTAAGAGCTGAACTGAAAGCCTTACATGTTAGATTAACTACCAACATAATTAGGAACTGACAAAAAAATAAACCAGTCATGTTTTGATTTACAATGAGACCAATTTTATGAGAAATGTCATTCTAGTTTGTCTGGAAGTTCTAGATATATCACTGACAGTGAATGAGAACCGTAATCTAACCAGTTTTCAATTAGTTAGGATTAGTTAGGATTAGTTAATAAGGAAGTGGCAGCAGCAGCCAGGACTCTGTACTGAAATAGTCACTGTAGAACTGATACACTGATAAGGTGAAATATCTATGAATGTTTCTTACAAGCTTCAAATGTTTGCGTTTAATCTAGAACAGCCAAAAACTGTTCACATGCAGCAGCATTTGTTTAGCTTTAACATACTATTAGAAACCCATAGGGGTGCTAGTGAAATAAGCATAATTGTAGAGAAGGGTTTTTTGGTCATTTTCTGACTTTTTTGACATTTATGTCCTGAGCTGAAGGCCCAGCTCTGCTCCTCACAGTCTGCCACTTAGAGATTCAGGTAACCAGAGCATCTGCATTACCTCTGAAAACCCTGAAAACTTCCAAAGTGCATTTTCTCCAGCTGAGGTTTAGGCTGCGGTTTTACATTGTACATTTCGACAGCCATCACATTATACTGTGGATGCTGGCAAGACCGTTTCTGGAAGAACATGTGCTGCAGTGTTTTATTTGACAGAAAGAGAGCGAGAGAGAGAGAGAAATCTGCAGTAGAACGCCTCCTGAGAAGCCGAGGTTTTGTAAAACGAAACAGAAAGGCAGATTTTCACATTACAGTGACTAAGGGCTCGCCCACTGTCTGCACAGACAGCTGTTACAGTAGCGTCAGTGTAAAGCTCTCCTGGAAGCATCCAAGGAGGTTGTTTGAGTTACAAACTGAACATAAGTAGACATTAATTACAATTGCTTGAAGGGTTCTTTGTATCATTAAATGGCTCTTCAGATTGATGGAGAATGTGTTGGATATGGTTCTATAAAAAACGTTTTGGAAATGGTTTATACAGCATCAAAAAGAGTTCTTCTAAGCTTGCCATGGTAACAACAGAAGAACCCTTATTGGTGCTATATAGAACCAGATATAACACATTCTCCATCAATCTCAACAACCATTTCAACATGCAAAGAACCATTTAACCACTTAAATGGCCAGGGCTCACCAGCAGGCCCAAAGGTTTATTACACACTTCTATAACCTAAGAATAGTTTAGGCAGTTTGCACTGAAGTCTCTGTAGTTGTTGAATAATAAGCCTTAGTATGTAATTAGCCTGGGATTTTAAGGGGTTAAGCATGCAGGGGGTTCTTTAAGTGTTCGTGGTCCTATAGGTTCCTTAGTAAAGTAAGGAACCATTACCCAACATGTAGACAGTCAGCCAAGACATGATTGGTATCTGAAGCTGGAATCATGGAATCGTGTGCCCCACCAATTAACATTTTGAAGTCCTGTATCCCACATTTATCTGACCTTTTATGACAGGCCATAATTCATTTACACCATTTCCAACCTCTCGTTATCCCTCAGAATTAAAATTTGTTTTACTGTGCTTGATATATGTAAATGAGCTGTGTTCTGATTAGTTGCCGAGTATTGTGCCTCAGTCAAAAAGCAGTCCAGGCTAAAACACTCCTTGTAACTCTGACATGAATGGGCAGGGCTCAATTGCTGTTGGCTACATGTAAATGTGTTGGATTTTGTGACATCACAAATACAATGGGTTCAAAACAGGCCTTTATTTAAAAAGTGAAGAAATTTGTTTTTCCATGATATGGGCCCTTTCAAAGAATAGGTCAACCAAGTATACTAACTTAGCTAACAAACAAGCTAATAGCTAATTTGAGGCAGATGTGTGATAATTTAGGTTTTATTTGAAGTACTTTGCATGAAGCTAATTGGTGTACTAGCTGCATTGGCCATATAGCTCCAGTTCAAAACAAAAGAACAAACCTCTGACACCCAGCATGTCTCGGCTAAACAACTACATTCAGGGTAAAGTTAATTATATATTTTTAAATTGTAAATTTGACTTTTGGTCAGTCACTATAATTGTTCTGTAGTCAGTGTGGTCAGGTTTGAATAATGACTTCAGCCTCTTAATTAAATGTGCATCTACTGCGTTTTGTTTTTTTTTGTAAGACTCTATAAACTGTGCCAGCCTCCTCCCCCGGATGGCGACCCTTGAACCTGATCAGCCTGGATGGATAACACACACACACACTCACACCTCCTGAGGGGACCGTCTGGAAGTCCACCCACTCGCACCTTCCGCAGGATCTGTCGTGCCTTGTTTCACCGCGAAGTGGTTTCCAGTGTACATACTGTTGTTATAGCTTTTTTAAAGCCCATATTGTTGTTGTTGTTTTGTTGCTGTTGTTGTTTTCGTTTTCTGTCCCCTTCTACAGATCTGCATCTCATTTTAGATTGAACATCAAAACAAACTGTCCCTGTCTGTAGGCTGCTGTCAAACCCTTCACATTAATGTCAGTCAAACTACACTGAAAAGGGTAATGCGGTGAAGTTACTTGATTCATAAGGGTGCGTCATTTCTACATGAAAAAAAATCATAAACTGGGGATGCAAACTTTGGCAAATTTGACTCATAACTGACTGTCAATAGTCAGCACTTAGCCATGCTCTAAGCCAGTGTACAATTCTTGTTGTATGCACACTTATGAGCACACAAATCAACATCACTGAGTATTGTATTATTGCCCTGATACATAAAAAGGGTTCCTTGTGTGGATCGTGGAACATAGTACTGATGGCTGAGGTCAAGCATAAGTGTGAATATGAAGCCTGAAAGTGTATTAAATATAGCCTATACAACCCTGCAGTTGTGCGATCATTGTCTTGAATGATTATTTTTAGCAGCACGGTTCATTTTAGTAGGCCTAACTAGGAAAAAAGAAATGCCTATAGCGCCCTCAAGCATAAAACATTAATGTTAAAAACGTTCCTCAAATTGAACGATAAACCTCTTCAAACAGGAACTGTTGTTTATTGGAAATGAAATTCTATTAAAGGGTAATTTGGCTGTTTTTTTCTGCCCAGTTTGGTCATTCAGATATAAACAGTCATGTCATTCAGAGTGGTTTGATGTGAAATGGTTCGTTTTAGAAAAATCTCAATTACACAAATGCATTTAGTTTCAAAAAACCACCAGTGACCCTAGATGTGTCTTCTGAGTTTTACATGTATGGTAAAATAGTGTTAAATCTGAACACTGTGTCTCAGGCCTCAGGCTTCATATTCATAACCATTTTATATAATAGCTTTCTGTGAGGGAGCTTTCAGAAGCAGAACTTTTCAGATGTCTGGTTCCTATCATCACCACTGTGAACAATTCTGACTCAGTAAGTTTCTCTAGAACAGAGCATTTCACACCAAACCGCTCTGAATGACTTTGTTTACATCTTAACCATTTAATTATGCAGAAATTTTGAAACATCGGTGGAATTTCCCTTGAGTGTTTTTTTAATTGATATCAGTAGTCGAACGTTAATCATTTAAATCCCTCACATTAGTAAGTTTTGTCCTTTAGTTGACTTACTTTGGCTATTGTGTATTGTGATGCAGTACAGTTCTTTCAAATGGAAATGATTCATTTTGAATCAAGTAAATCTGGTGCATTACTTTTTTCAGTGGACACTACCATTTTTATGTAAAACATTTTTTTAATGAAACTCTGTAGATTCCAGTTTTTTGTACATTACTTTGTTATGAGATGATATAAGGAAAGGAAAATGAACAGGCGGATTGCCGTTATAGTCTTATTGTACTGTCTAGTCGTGCCTTCTGTTTCTACAATCATGTTATATTAGATATTTGTATAGTCTAATTTGTTGTTATATTCCCAAGTGTTTTAAATGTTGAATAGAGATAATTAACTCAATGATACATTAAGCTAAATACAGTCTCAGTGAATGGGTGATCATGTACTGGAAAGTGTTTTAAAATGCGATGCCGTCAGTGTTACTGTTCTAAACAGGCCTCATGTACGTAGCGCTTATGAAGTATGAATCAGTTTAAACGTTCAGTACTCAGGAGTAATTCTATATGATGTTATATCTTAATGTTGCTTAACACAAATGAGGAAATAGAGTTATTACTATGCAAATGAAGGGAGCAGAAAAAAAGAAGTCTACCAGCTGTCTCCGTGCCTGTTATGTCTCATTTTGTTATGAATAAAAATTCAGTAGTCAAGATGTTTTATTACAGTACAGTGCCTCTGCATAATATCTTGTCATTTGTGTTTGAAATTAATCGCAGTAAAGAAGTGTCAGACCATTATTACTGTAAAGGAATACTAATTGCAATGTTGTTTTGACTGAAAAACAGCACTAATTTATTTTTATTAAACTGACCCAATATGACATATATGGCAAACATGTTAAAGCTTTGTTGAACTTTTCTATACTATGAATGGTGTAATGGCAAATTATAGCTGTTGATTACAATAAAACAATTTTTTAAGGTACAGGAAATATTTATTCTGTTGTCTATATGAACATCATTATTCTTCACTGACGCCTGTGTTGTCCTGCTCCTATTTGAGGTGGGTAAAGTACCTCAGACTATTGTAAATTAAAAAAAAAAGTATGAAAGGGCCCGTATTATTGAAATGACTCAGGTAGATATCATTGAAATGACTCAAGTAGTATTGAAGAGCCCATATCATTAAAATGACTCAAGTAATATTAAAGCCTACATATCATTGAACTGGCTCAAGTAGTATTAAAGGGCCTGTATCATTGAAATAACTCAAGTAGTATTAAAGGGCTCATATTAACTAAGTGACTCAAGTAGTATTAAAGGGCTCATATTAACTAAGTGACTCAAGTAGTATTAAAGGGCTCATGTCATTGAAGTGACTCGAGAAGTATTAAAGGGCCCATATCATTGAAATGACTCAAGTGATATTAAAGAGCCCATAACATTGAAATGACTCAAGTATTATTAAAGAGCTCATATTAACTAAGTGACTCAAGTAGTATTAAAGGGCCCATATCATTGAAATGACTCAAATAATATTAAAGAGCCCATAACATTGAAATGACTCAAGTAGTATTAAAGGGCCCATATCACTGAAATGGCTCAAGTTATATTAAAGGGCCCATATCACTGAAATGGCTCAAGTTATATTAAAGGGCCCATATCACTGAAATGGCTCAAGGAATATTAAAGGGCCCATATCACTGAAATGGCTCAAGTAGTATTAAAGGGCCCATATCACTGAAATGGCTCAAGTAATATTAAAGGGCCCATATCACTGAAGTAACTCAGGTAATATTAAAGGGCCCATATCATTGAAGCGACTCAAGCAGTATTAAAGGGCCCATATCATGGAAAAAACGTGTTCACTTTATTTCAATAAAAAGTTTGTTAACATTGTGAAAGTTTCAGAATGTACTGTGCGAAAAGAGAATAAAATACCCATTTTGAATTGTTTTTGTGATGTCATGAAAACCAACGCATTTACATATTTCAGCCTATTCAGCCTATAGCAGTTTAGCTTTGGCTGTAGCTATAAGGAGTGTTTCAGTCCAATTTTACATGTATCAGTCTTAAAGACACAAATATAAAGTAGCAAATATAATGTTTTATTTTTAGAGATAAAAGGGCTGGAAAATGAAAATGTAAATATAAATTAAGTGCTTTTGGTAGAAAAAAAGCACACGGACATCATAAGTGGCCCTTTAAAAGTAGATACCAACGACCAAAGAGGTACAAAGTATCAGTTCTGAAATCTATTGTAGTACTGAGTTCCCTATAAGACTGCAGTGGAACCTCTTAGTGCATCAATCAGCATATAAACTACATTTTGTTAGACTCCATTCTTCTCTTTTTGCTCTGAAATGAAATGCTCAAGATTTAGAAAGAGAGGTAAGACAGAACGTGAGCTGAATAAACACAAGAGAATGTAATGAATCCCAAACAAAAGAGTCAGAGACGGAATGTGAGGGAATAAAGTGGAACTGAGTGAATAGATTTCCCTCATAAATATACTTGAAAAGATATGAAAGCATTAGAACGCATTCATCATAAACAATGCATCACGATTTGACATTTTACAGAATTTAAAAGTTTGTTGATGTCTAAGAGTTCTAAGTGAATCCCAGCAGAAGACAAATACAAAAGTTAAACAACTCTAATGTAAGTAAATCTTACATTGACTTGATTCAAATGTTTGCATAATTTTTACATTAATAAAATGTATTACAGTACAGAAAGAGTCTGAGAGCTCCCTTCATTTATTTAATTTCCAGCCAAATCAGCCAAAAGTGTGTTAGTCATTCTAAAGAGATGAGGTATAAAATAATCCACTTGAATAAGAAAAGAGAAAGTCAAAGGAAACAAGACAGTTTCCAAAACTGGACTTCAAAAAATGATTAAAAGCTACAGAGAAAATGAGACTCCTAACAACCACCTGAAAGACCTGGAAGACCCCCAAAACTGTCCCTCTCAGATAAACGGCACTTAACGCTTTCATCTCACAGAGAGAGGAGAAAATCAAGCTGCTTCAGATCTGAAAAAATCCACAGCCATCCTTCCACTGTGAGACGACAACTCAACACTATGAGTCTAAAAGGATGTGCAGCTGTCAGTAAGCCCTCACTGAGAAAAGGAAACAGACAAATCAAACAAAGAAGCTGCTGGTGTTCTCAGAATAATGGACTGACCACCCCAGAGTCCAGACCTCAACATCACTAAATGTGTTCAGGATTACTTGGATAGTGAGAAGCATGAAGTGCAACCATCTTCTAAGATTGAACTTTGGAGGTGTGGAAAAAATATCCCTGCAGATTTGAGAAACTGAAAGCAAGCGAAACTGAAAAGAATGGACGCTGTAATGGAGGTAAATAGTGGACACACTAAATATTGAAAAATATTACATTTAGTTGTTGAGGCTTCTAATTTTCTGAAATAAGCAAAAAGTTGGTCTCTTGTGCCTGTATATTGGCACAGTATGGGCTCAAAAAGTCAGTAAAAAAAGATAAAAAGTAAAAAGATTCAGTGTTGTAACTCACTATAATAATATAATGTAAGATGTTATTGTTCTGTTAACTGACTGTTAAAGGTTCAAAGAACTCAAAACTTTGAAGGGGAATTCCACTGATTTTTTCAAGTTTTCTGCACAATTCAGTGATTTAGATATAAAGTTAAAGAGTTTTTTTATATGTAATGTTGATGATGGTAAAATAGTGGAAAGTCTCCAAAAATGCTTTCCTCTGGGGACTATTTTGCCTCACAACACGCTTCATGTACCCCTGCGCCATGAATGGATTCAAACAAATGGACTAAAAAAACACTTAGGCCAAAACTTTATAACAAAACTATCTAACCATTTTGTGTAATACTTTTCTGTGAGGGAGCTTTTAGAGGCGTTAAACTCAAATGATGCATGGCCACGACTTAGTAAGGCGTGGGAACAAGATCCTAATCTGTGGCCACAACTTAGCATGGGAACGAGACAATTAAGTTGTGGCCAGGACTTGATTCTTGTTTTCATGCCTTACTAAGTCTTGGCCACACTTTAGGACCTTATTCCTACCTCTTACTAAGTCATTACTTTTATTTACACGGGATGTCACCAGCAGGGCTCCATAGGTTCCTATCATCACCACTGTGAACAAGTGTGACTCTGTAATTTTCTCTAGAATGAAGCATTTCACACCAAACCACTCTGAACGACTCTCATCTTAACCACTTAATCATGTGAAACTTGACAAATTGGTGGAGTTCCCCTTTAACGCAGCCTGGTTATTTACCTCATTAATAAATATGCTCTACTTCTAATAGTCAACAGAGCATTAATCAGTGTTACACTCAAGAAAATCTGTTATCTATTCAGGTACTTATTTATCTTAAGTTGTATTTTTAAATGATGCGCACATTTGAATCGAGTTTGATGCCTCACTCATTTCAGTTCTGCATTTGGCGGGAGATGGGGTTACTGATGTGGTGGGCGGGGCTTGTGATTAAAACATAAAAAACAAAAACAGGCCAATCAGGCGGAGAATAAGAGAGGCTTGATTTTGATTGGTTTCAATAGGGGCCAGTCCAATGAGGAGGGGAGAGGAGGGGCCTGGGGTGGTATAGCCCCATCTGATAGTAACCAGGAGAAACGGAGCGTGTTAGTTGCAGCAATGTGCTCGTAGAGGAGCTCAGCTGCTCTTTTTGCCGCAGTGTGGAAACCCACCTGAGATACTTCAGCCCCGGAGCATGAAGGCTCATGTGTGAGTGGAGCTTCTTCTCGTTCGGAAAAGGCACTTTTTCTCTATGGCGTCTGAGCAGCAGTCGAGGATTCAGTCCTACCTGGAGAAGAACAAGATTGGACCCTTGTTCGAGGTGGGTATCTTCGCTTCTGCAACTTTGGGGGCGTTATAGCAATGACAGCAACGTGTGGTTCGCACAAAGTCAGCTGAAGCGCGGATCTGGAGGCGTTTGAAAGCGGGAAAAGGGGGTCAGAAGCTTGGTAGCTGGATGCAAACTGTACTGAAAGTCATGCACCTGTGGCCAGACCCCTAGACTGAGTGGTCTTATGTCCTTTAGAGGGCAAACTGCAGATGTGTTACTGAGCAGAGCGATTTGTGTCATTCTGTTTCAGCTTTAAAGCATTTATTGTGACTTTATTGTAGATGCTTGGCGTTGTTGTTGCTGTGGAGCGCAGGCACCATTAGCTTTAACACTAAAGCTCCTATCGACTTTAAAGGGGAACTCCACCGACTTTTCAAAAATTCCACACGATCAAATAGCTGAGATGTAAACAAAGTCAGAGTGGTTTGGTGTGAAATGTTCTGTTCGAGAGAAACTAGTCAGAATTGTTTAAAGTGGTGGTGATAGGAACCAGACGTCCACGTCTAAAAGCACCCTCACAGAAAGTTATTACTTGTTTTGGGATGGTTTTGTGGTAAAGCTTTTGCTTAAAATGCATTGTAGTCCGTTCATGGCGTTGTAAGGCAAAATAGTGCCCAAAGAAAACTTATTATTTTCAGATTGACCGTTATTTTACCATAATCAGCATTACAAATAAAGCTCACGTGTAGGTTCAGTGGTACTAAATTAAATGGCTATATTTGTGTTGTAGACATCGTGACTCCTGGTTCCTATCACCACCACTGTAAAGAGAAGAAAAGAAAAGAAAAAGTCTTATGTTTCTCTATAGTGAACCGTTTCACATTAAACCACTCTGAATTACTCTGAATCTCAAGGACTGGAATTTTTGAAAATATGGTGGAATTCCCCTTTAATGTTACGAAGCTCAAGTTTGAATTCTCCATTCCACCTTAAATGCTGCCTCCGGCCCCCTATGGAACTGCTGCATCATTTAAGGTGGAACGGAGAAATCAAATTGAAGCCAGGCGAATAAGAAGCTAACTTCAGCTTCGTGACAATAAAGGAGAATTCCCACCAAATTTCCAAAAATTCTCAAATTGAAACTTCAGCGCCAGAATGTAACTGCTTAAGCATTTAAGGTGGAACGGAGAATTCCAATAAGAAGCTGGCAACTTCAGCCTCGTCCTGAAGCCCAACTTTGCAGGTTAAAAAACACGCACATAGTCGTATAAATGGCCTGAGTCACTGTCCACTTATCACTGACAACCATAAAAATGTATCCTTTCGCAGAAACAGTATCAGACAGTATTGCTTGGACACTTGGTAGTTCGCTTCCTGATGTACGTTACAGTCAAGCTTAAAGGAACTTAGGCAAAGATAACAACTGCTTTTCTTCAACACTGCAGCATCACTCGTTTCCCCAGCGAAGCTCCAACGTTTCCTCAAAGCGCAGGAAGAGTTTAATCAGCCTCTATTACTTTGTTCCTCTCGCAGCAGCGTGGAACCACCCACCGCTCTCCTCTCCATGCTGTCTGTAGCTGGAGGGGAAGCGCTGTCTACATGAGACAAACTGCTGATATATCATCTCTCCTGTAGCAGCGGCTGCGTGCATGGGTGGAATATCAAACAGCAATAAAGCTAAAAGCAGCGAGGCTGAGGTTCAGCACCGCGGACAGCGGCGCTTCCCACTGCTTGTGTTCCACAAGCACCGCCTCCCGAGCTCGGATTGGTTAGTAGTTTATACTACTGCATTAGGATTTCCTAATACAGAGGTCACCAATCTCCCTCCTGGAGACCTACCTTCCTGCAAATTTCACCCTCAGCCCAAACTAACACACCTCATTCATCTAATCAGAGATGATAATTAGATGGACCAGGCGAGGTCAGTTAGGGTCAGAGGTAAATCTGCAGGAAGGTAGATCTCCAGAAGAAAGGGATAGTAGATCATCCTCTTGCACAAGTTAGTAATTCATACTGGTGCATAAGTACTGGCTAGTAATTCATACTGTTGGCACTACTGGCTAGTAGGAGACTAGATGTAGGGATCACATTAGCAGTGCTTGCTCATCTAGATGGGGAAGTAATTCATACCGCTTCGTTAGAACTGGCTAGCAATTCATACTGGTGCGTTAAACTTGAAAATTAGTTTCGCACTGTATCATTAGAACTGACAAGTCGTTCACAGCCCTGCACTAGGATTAGCTAGTAGTTCATACTCCTGCATTAGAATTGGCTTGTAATTCATACTGCTTCATAAAGATTGGATAGTCATTAATATTGCTGCACTGTTGGCTAGGTGAATAGACGTAAGAAGCATGTAGCACATAGATGTAAGGAGATGTAGGGAGCCCCTGCTTGCTTCTCTTTTTGGACTATATAAATATATAAAGAAATATATAATACTGCTTAAAAAGCCTCGGCTAGTAATTCATACTGTCATGTCCGGATTGGCTAGTAATTCATACCGCTGCGTTAATCTTGGCTAGTGGTTCATGCTTTTTCATTAGAACTGGATAGAAGTTCATAGTCAAGCATTAGAACTGGCTAGTGTTTCATACTCATACACAAGTATTGGCTAGTAGTTCATACTGCTGCATTAGTACAGGCTAGTATTTTATATTGCTGCACTGTTGGCTAGCAGAGACTAGACTGAGGAGCGAGTAGCACATAGACGTGAGGAGATGTGGGGAGCCCAGTGCTTGCTTCTGCTTTTGGACTATGTAAAAAAAGATTACCCTCTTACTAGGGGTGATCAATATGATAATATTTGATCATTATCATGATACATTGTTTCACAGTGCCCTTTTTAGAGCACATCATAGACATCGTAGCACGTAAAGAACACTGACCAACTTACAAAGAGAGGAAAATGTTATCTGTTTAATTGTACTTGGTGCAGTGCAGTATGCAAATGAATTGTATTCATAGTTTTCAATAGTGTTTTTTAAATGTGGCTATTTTTCACTTCCATCTTATCAAGCCTCAGAAAAACTAAATATTGTGATGATGTATTGTGTATCGTAAAAATGTCAAGTATTGTGATATGCAGTTTCTGCCCTATCGCCCACCCCTGCCACTTGCTTACTAGTTCATACTGCTACACTATTATTTGCAAGTAATTCATACTGCTGCAGTACAGCAGAAGTCTCTGTGCATAAAGAAAAAGGCCAAAAACCACAAATTAATACCCATGAACATCGACCCTGTAGATGGCACTGCATTAAACCAGCGATAGCCTGACTCGAAACCAGGGAGGGGTTAAAGCAGGAGGACATGACACACATGGACAAAGTCACACACAAAAGCCCACCCTCCACGGATGCAGTTTCTCTAATAAACACAACTACATTACACATAACCAACAACAGTACCTTTTTTACACCAGGATCGTTGCACCTCCCAAGAGTACAGCAGTATATTAATATACCACAGTGTAATTCATTCTGCATAACTGTTTATAGATGCACAGTTTTTCCTGGATGAATAATTCTAATCACGTTCTGCTTCTTGCAATCCAAATAATCCCAAACCCATTCAGTGATTTAAGGTTTTGAGGCCTGGACTCTGGAGAATATTTGCGGTCTCCTTTTCTCAGTGAGGGCTTCTTATCAGCTACACATCCTTTCAGACTCATAGTGTTGAGTTGTCTTCTCACAGTGGAGGATGGCTGTGGATTTTTTTCAGATCTGAAGTCAGAGTGGAGCTTGATTTTCTCCTCTCTCTCAAAAAGTTTTAAGTGCTGTCTATCTTATCGGGACAGTTTTGGTGGTCTACCAGGTCTTGCAGGTGGTCGTTAGGAGTCCCATCTTCTCAACAACTCTATTTTCAGTTTTGGAAGCTCTTGTTTTTTTTCACTTCCTTATGCAAGTGAATTCATTTATATCTTTTCTTTTTTTATAAATACCGTTATTTTTAAGTGTGTAGTGGTCAAAACATTGCCCCAATAAATGATATTCACCTGTGTGTGGGGAACCAGGCGATAACTCTGGCTTCACTTCCATCAACTGCTCCATCATCTCACACAGCAGATTATATAATATGACCTATATGAAGAAGACTTATAGGTAATATTATACAGGGAGAACCGACATATAAGGTCAACAATTTTTGAGCTGCTTAATGTAGCAGCCATGAGATGCTCTGTATGTTTTTCAGTATGAATTGAATGAATTCCAGACTCTTTTCTGAAGGCTTGTGAAGAACCTTTCTATGCTAGCAATATATGTATCAACACATTCTGAAGAAGAAGGAGGCTTGAGTGGTTCTTGAGTGTTTGTGGTCTGAATGCAAGCATTTAAACATAAAAGCTGTTCTTCTTCCTTCAGAGATGTAATTTTCAGTGCCATCAGGCTAATGCAGAGGAGACGACAGTATCATTCTGGAAGTTTTGCTGCAAGTTAGCAGCATCACAGCAGTAAAAGCCTCAGTCCAGAACCAAAAGGCTGCAGATTCAAACCTGAGATGAAAAAGGGGAACAGAGTTAGAAACATCTGGGGTTAAGTTGAGAGAATGTATTAGAATGAGCTTAAATAATTTGTTGGTAGTTTCTAACAGAGACTTTTGGAAAGGGTGCATATTGTCACTGTTGAACAATATTGGTGTCTCTGTTTCTGTTGCGTCTAATTTTTGACATAATTTGAAATTGCTAGTTGCTGTTTATATAATGTGTCAAAATTTGGTGGCAAACACACCAATAGAAATGGTCCAAAATAACAATAAATAAAATTGTTATGTTGATTTACCATAAAAGTTAAAGTCAACTCGGGCCATGTTACCTGAGTTTAGGAGTTATGATGTATCACTAGCCAGAACATCCTCTAACACCATATGAGCACTGCAGTCCAATCTGGCAACCCAAGTTAATGCATTCACTGAGCACTTCATTATGAACACTATACTAATACTGGATAGGGCCTTCCTTTTATCTCCACAGCCTCAATTCTTTGTGGCATGAATTCCATTTTTCAGGTGCACTTTTATGTTGTGAATCTCTCGTTCCACCACATCCCAAA